ATAATTATTTAAAATTTTATATATTTATATTTAGGTGTATGTTGCAATATCCTAAAAATTTTTTATAGGTACTATACTCAAAACATTTATACAAAAAAAATGAAACACATGACAATTGGCAAGGTACAAAAATATATATTACTATATAATTTATTTAAAATTATATTATTTGTTACATGGTCCTATTATATATATATATATATATATATATTAAAATTTTATTTTCTTTTCTTATTATTTTTTTATAAATTTTTACTTTCAAATAAAATATAATTCAAATTTAAGTAATTTTTATTTATTATAAATAAAAAATTATAATATAATATATTAATATAATAATTGAATATTAATAATAATAAAATTAAAAATATAAAAAATATATTAATATAATATAAGTATTTTATTTTTAAATTTTAATTCTTATATTTTTATAATAATATAACATTAATATAGTATAAAAAATATTACTGATACAATATATTAAAACGTATATTTATATATTATATATCAATTGATAAATTATTTATTAATATAATTTTTATTTATACTTTTTTATGTAAATATTTATTAATTATTGAATTTTAAATGTATATTAACAATTATATTTTTAAGAAAAAAACTATCTACATCTATGTTAAATTTATTAAAAATAATTATTTTTAATTTGACATATTTATATTTAGGTGTGTGGCTATGTACTATGTATTTGGTATCTAAAGTTTTTTTTTATAGGTACTTTACTCAAAAAATCTATACCAATAAAAGTAAAACACTTAGTATGTTACAAAAAGGATATATTATTATATATAATTTATTTAAAATTATATTATTTATATTATTTAATATATGGTCCTATTTATATATACAGATATATTTTTTATATTGAATTTTTTTTATAAAATTTTACTTTTGAATAATATATAATTCATATTTATTAAATATAATATATTAATATAATAATTAAATATTAATTTTAATAAAATTAAGAATATAAAAATATATTAATATAAAATTATTATTTTATTTTTAAATTTTATTTTGTTTAATTTTAATTGCATCTTGTTTCTATTTAAATACTTAATTACTCTTTAACTTGTTTAAATGTAATAAATATCATAATTTATTATTAAATTAATTATTATTTAATAAGTGTAATCATGTATAAATATTTTTAATTTTTAATAGAATAAAATTTTTATTTATTTTAATTATAAATAAAAAATTATAACCTAATATATTAATTTAATAACAACTGAATTAAGAATATAAAAAATATATTATTAAATAACTTTATTATTTAAACATATTTTGACAGCTCTATTTTTAAATTACATATATATATATATATATATATATATATATATGCTGTAACACTCTAAATTTTGTAATATTGTTTAATTATTAAATATATGTATGTGTGTGTGTGTGTGTGTATATATATATATATTTATATGTGTGTGTGTGTGTGTGTGTTTGTTGATTGATATGAGGATCTGTGTAATGATGTGGACCTATACGAATATGATTGTGAGAAGTCCAAATAGTGTGGTTGGAATGTGATGTGAATTGTGACTGGACTGTAATAGATTGAATATATATATATATATATATATATATATATATATATATATCTGTGTGTGTGTGTGTGTGTGCGCGCGCGCACGCGCATGCGTGTGTGTATACAGGCTAAGTGTGGATGCTGCTGCAAGGCATTCTCGCTATAGTGAGAAGGCACTGAGAGAAATGGGTGAAACTGTCGCCTTGTCGGTGTAGCGACAAAGCCACAATTTGGGCTGCATTTTTTGGTGCAGTCTCGCTATAGCGAGATTCTGCAAAAACCAGTGTACAGTTTTCTCTGATATTTTCGTTGTAGCGAGAGTATCGCAACTAGAAGAGGATTTAAAGGGGTTAAGGTTTGGGGAAGCTTCATTTTTCACTTTCCCTTCAAGATTTCTTGGATTCTCTCACTCCTAAATCCTATTTCACCGATTAAATTGCCTCCAAGCTGCTTAGGAGCAAAATTAAAGGTTCGATTTGTATAAGGAATGCTTGGAGGTGAGTTTTAATGGTTAGAGTTCCAGTTTCTCATCCCTATCCTCTGTTTTTTCAGTTTTCCTGAGTTCTCATGGGGTTTTTCCATGTATTTAGGTCAAAGTTCATGTGGGAGAGCGCCTACCTTGTTGATTTGGTGTATGGGTCTTCATTTGAGGTAAGGGGGGACTCTATCCTATCTCGTTATGTTTAATTACCATTTATTTCGTTAAATGTTGCAATGTGATTGAGATAGAGAGTAGGAAATGTGTGATGTGATGGAAATTATTGTGTGTTTGGAGTGAAATGTAAATTGATTGTGGGGTTGACATACCCTTGATTGAGAATATGTATCATGTTGAGGATTGATGATTGAATAATATAAATGGTTGGAAATGGATATGGATGACATGTTAATATGTTGTGTGATGGAATAATGGCATATGTGTTGAGTGTGGTGAATGAATGTGGGCCTCTATGCTGTGTAATGTGAATAAATGTGGGCAAATATGTCGTATATGATATGCTATGGATGATTCAGCGATACATTGGAGGTGTGGAAGATGGGGATGGTAGAAATATGTAACACCTTAAATTTAATTTCAATAATTAAGAAATTTCGCAAAATTTTGAAATAATAAAATTTCCATTTTCCAAATATCAAACAGTTGCTACAGATTTGCCCCCTTTAAATCCTTTCCTGGTCGCGACTCTCTCGCTACAGCGAGATATTCTCATCAGACGAAAATGCACCCTGGTTTCTTGTAGAATTCTCATAGCCGAAAAAACGGAAGAAAGTGACGAACAGAATTTTGAATTTTAATTTTTTTTTTGCTCTTCTCTTCTCTTCTCTTCTCTTTTCTCTCTCCCCTTTATGACTTGTTTCCCTCCATCCATGGAGGCTTAGATTTCCATCTAATTCAAGGATTAAAAGGACGTGACACTCTTGCGGATTGATCTCACATTGGCATAAATTCAATAACAATTTTGGTTTCATCTCTTCCTTATTTTCTCCTTTTGCTAATTATATTTTCGAATTGAAGTTATTCGTTTAGATTGATGATTATGCATCTGGTTGATTATGTATTATTCGATTGATGTATGTAATTGAGTTTTAAGGAACATGAATTGGATTTTCAGGTTTGAAAACTACAATTAACGGCATTGGTAAATTAAATTGGCACAATTCAATTAGGTTCTAGAGTTTTCTGAATTTTAATTAATTATGTGTTAATCGAATGCATGAAAGTTTTCATGTCAATGCTGAGTTCGAATTGAGGTTTCATTCGGATTCATTGTTAATTAGTGAATTGTTTGTTGATGTACTCTCTTAAAAATTCGGTGATAGAGTAGTCATTCTTCTTCTTAATTCTTGGATTGGAATTTCAGTTTTTGTTCACTCTTTATTCTAATTATAATTAAGTGCATTTTTTTTTCTTTTATAAACAAACCCCCCTCCCCCGTTTTATATACTCTCTAAATAGATTGATTTGTCCTTGTGATTCTTTGATAAACGACCCTAGTTGCTTATCTCGTACTATAGTAATTAGGTGTATTTTGACCTGGGTGCGACCACATGTCAAATTGGCGCCGTTGTCGGGGTATCACTGGCATTTTTAACATATTTAGAGTGTTAATCTTCCTTATTTTATTTTATGTTCTGTGTACAAAATTCTGGTTTGCAATTCTGGTCGTTGTTTTGAGGTATTTATTGTGAGTCTTATAGGTGGAAAACTTCACTACCAGTTTGACTTTGGAGTTTGAGGCTGAATTTTGGTGTCCAAATAGCACTCATCACGTTGATCAACTTTGTCCAAAGGAGCTACCGCAAATTCCTTCATCTGGTAGGTGATTTTCTACAAAAGGGTAAAAAGGTAATTTTTCTGGCGACTAACTCGGATTGAGCTAAAACTTGGTCAGATATTGCAGAAAAATTCAAGGATCAATACCACACAATTTAGCGACTAAATTGAGTGGTGCACCCCTGAAATTCCAAAATTCCATTGTTTAGACCACTTTTTCAATTTTTAGTATTTTAGGATTTTTAAAAATAGTAAAAAAATTCTCAAAAATAGGAAATTTTATTTCTAGTACTTCTGTGGTAGTCCTATATTTCATTGGTTTTATTTTTCAAGTAATCAAGATGATCAGCACCAGACTCAGTGAAGGGGTGGATGGAACTGCTATAGGACTTAGGATATTATTTTGAAAACTATTGTATTTGAATAAGTCCTGTAGCAACTGTTTGATATAATTTGTAACCCCTTTCTTTATTTGAAATGGTTGATGAAACTTGAATTAAAATGAACATTTTATTATTTTAAAAATTTACAAAATTCCTTATTTATTGAAATTAAATTTAAGGTCTTACAATTTTGGTATCAGAGCAGTTCATCCAAACCGGACTGGGGTATTGGGCTGAAGCGTCCAAGATAAGTGTTGATTATTTTATTTTCCTGAATTATAAATGTATTATTGATTTGATGTGTTGGACTGTGACTGTTAAATTGTGTAGCTAAGATATGTCTGGTATAGTTAGAGCTAGAGGTAGAGGAGCTAGAGACACTAATAACCTCATGAAACGCATGGCTCAAATTCTGGAAGCCATGGTGCACAATCAAGGTGGAGAGCCGGCTGAGTATAAAGGGTTATATGCCTTCACTAGGCATGATCCTCCAAAGTTTAAAGGTGGATTCAACCCTGAAGCAGCCCAAAGATAGGTGGCTGATGTGGAGAAGATCTTCAATGCTATGGGGTACCGTGAGGAGAACAAGGTTGCCTATGCCACCTACTTCCTATGTGGGGAGGCTGAGGACTGGTGGAGGTTTGCTGGTCAGACTCTGTCACAAGAAGATGGCTATGTCCAGTGGGAAGCATTCAAGACCATCTTCCTAGGGAACTACTTTCCCTGAGATCTAAGGAAGCAGAAGGCTAAGGAGTTCCTTGAGTTGAAGCAAGGAAGTATGACCATGGGAGAATATGCAGCTAAGTTCCAGGAACTAATGAAGTACTGGCCTCATTATCAGCATGGTGATGGAGAGGAGGATCTATGTGCTCAGTTTGAGCATGGATTGAGGTCGGACATCCGAGCTGCGGTCAGCGTGTTTCAGCTGACAGATTTGCCCACTTTGTTGAGCAAGAGCAGAATCTTTGAAGCCAACTCAAGGGGGAAGACAGTGGACACTAGGGGAGCTAGTCTGGTGAGGCAAGATAGGAGACCCCCTAGGTTCTCAAGGGGACCGTATTTGGGTTCAAACAGCTCTTAGTCTCAAGGGAATTCATCTCAGGAGAAGAGCAGTGGGAGTGGTTCAGGATCAAGTTCTTTCAGAGGACCGCTCAAGTGCTTCAGGTGTGGGGGGCCACACATGGTGAAGGACTGCCCACAACCGAGGATAACTTGTAGCAACTGTGGAAAGTCGGGGCACGTTGCCAATGAGTGTTGGGCCGCCAAGAGAAGCTATAGTGTAAGTGCAACTCAGAGGCCGGAATCAAGAGGAAGTACGGGGCAGAAGCCGAGCATTCCTGGTAGAGTCTTTGCTATGAGTAGGGCAGAGGCTTCACAATCTGAGGAGCTGATTAGAGGTAAATGTGTAATTAAAGGCAGATTGCTTAATGTGTTGTTTCATTTGGGTGCTACGCACTCTTTTATATCTGTGGACTGTGTGAAGAGTCTGAATCTGTATGTGATGGAATTGCCATGCAATGTTGTGGTGACTATCCCTATGAGTAAGCCGGTTGTGACGTCTTAGGTGTGTTTAGGGTGTGCAATGATGGTACACGGTAGGGAGTTTGAGGTGGACTTAATTTGTTTACCTCTTTCTCAATTGGATGTAATTCTGGGAATGGATTGACTTGCTGCCAACCATGTGCTGCTGGATTGTAGAGAAAGAACCTTGATCTTCGGTGAGATGATGGCGGAGGTTCCAAGACTCATGAGCCAAGGTGCGTGGGAGAACACGGTGAACGCTAAGGCCTTTATGGTAATGTTTTCGATGGAGGCCGAAAGCATGGTGGAGTCAGAGTATATTCCAGTGGCAAAGGATTTCTTGGAGGTTTTCTCCAAAGATGTTTCTGAGCTACCGCCTGAGAGGGAAATAGAGTTTGTTATTGACCTCATTCTAGGAGCAAGTCCGATTTTCGTGGCACCTTACAGGATGTCACCAGTGGAGTTGACAGAAGTCAAGAAGCAAGTAGAAGACCTATTGCGAAAGCAGTTTGTGAGATCGAGTGTGTCACCGTGGGGAGTACCAGTGCTCTTAGTGAAAAAGAAGGATGGAAGCATGAGGATGTGCGTGGATTATCAGCAGTTGAACAAGGTAACAATCAAGAACAAGTACCCACTTCTGAGGATCGATGATTTGATGGACCAATTAAAGGGAGCAGCAGTGTTTTCGTAGATCGACTTGAGATCGGGATACCATCAAATCTAAGTGAAGGATGCAAATGTACCTAAGACTGCGTTCAGGACGCGGTATGGTCACTATGAGTATTTGGTGATGCCGTTTGGGGTGACCAACGCGCCTGTGGTGTTCATGGACTACATGAACAGGATCTTCCACGAGGGGACCTCGCTGTAGCGAGAATATCTCGTTGTAGCGAGAGTGTCGCTACCAGATAGGGATTTAAAGGGAGTTAGGGTTCGGGGAGAGTTATTTCTCCTTCTCCCTTCGATCCTCTCATTCCCAAAGCCCTATTCCACCGATTAATTACCTCCAAAGCCCTTCGGGAGTGAGATTGGTACTCAGATTTATGTGGGAAACGCTTAGAGATGAGTTTCAAAAAGTGGTTAGGGTTTTTGTTTTCTTTCCCTTTCTCTGTTCTTGGTGATTTTCAGAGTTCTCATGGAATTCTTCCGTGTGTTTAGGCCGAAAGTCGTGTGGGGAGCATTTTCGTGGTTGAGTTCGAATGTGGGTCTTCAATCCAAGGTAAGGGGGGACTCTACCCTACTCCTTTATGTGTGATTTGTTGATATTTTGTGTGATATTGTGATGTGGCTAAGTACAGGGTAGGAAATTGCTGAGATATGTGATGTAGACACTTGTGCCGTTTATACATGTGTGTATATTTGAATGAACATTGTGAAAATGTGGGCCCGAGGGCTGTGTAATATGAACGGAAATAGGCTAGGGGCTGTGTGTCATGAATAAATTATGGGCTATGTGCTGTGTGTGCTGTGAAAATGAAATGTGGGCCTAGTGCCGTATAATTGAACAAATGTGGGGCCTAGTGTCGTGTACTGTTAAATATGGGCTATGTGCCGTATACTGAAATGTGTGTGATTAGGGCGTAATAGCGCCATTGTAATGTGTTGTGAATGGTTCAGTGATACACTGGGGATGTGGGAGATGAGGACGGTAGAAATACCTTAGGGAAGAGGGAGTGGTGGTGACACCGACTGCAGAACGAGTGCACCACGGGCCACACACTTTCTTCCTGACTAGACCTCTGATCACTATCTTTGCTGAGCGACCCGTGACTGCCCACGTGGTATCCGTGAGGAGGGGGTAACTGGCGACCATTCATGGTGTAAATCTGTGATTACAATGTCAATGTGAGTGTGGCTGGCATGCATATGCGTGGGTTTATGAATTGTACTTATGAATGTGAAATGTTGTTTGTGATTGTGTTTTTTTAATGCGTTGGAAATGTTCTGGAGGTGAGACTCTACGTTGATTGTGTGTTTTTGGGTAGTGTAGAGTACTCACCCTTACATTCATTTTTCAGGTAATCAAGATTATCAGCACCGGATTCAGTAAAGGGGTGGATGGAATTGCTATAGGACTTAGGACATTATTTTGAAAACTATTGTATTTGAATAAGTCTTGTAGCAACTATTTGATATAATTTGTAACCTCTTTCTTTATTTGAAATGGTTGATGAAACTTGAATTAAAATGAACATTTTATTATTTCAAAAATTTGCAAAATTCCTTATTTATTAAAATTAAATTTAAGGTGTTACAGTCTTTCCACAGAATAGATCTAAATATTGTGTCCTTAATTACAAATGTTTTGATTCCAAGGATATGAAATTATTTTACTTCAACTTGAAATTACGAGCAAATAGTTGGAAAGTAACATACATACACAATTAGTTTTACTCATGTAACAATATTTAAACCTTCTTATTTTATATGTATGATATAGGTAGAGTTTAAATTTCAAAGCATGATTAATTGTACTTATGAGCACGTAAATATCTAAAGAGATATAGAGGCACTACAAAAAAAAAAAATTAATTTTTCTTAAAGTTTATATAATTGTAGTTAAATTTAATATTACCTATTGTTTAATTAACGATTATTTTAAAAAAAAAACTCTACTAATTTAATAAAAGATCTTTTTTTTCCCCTTGTTTTAGGTAATTTATTAAACCATTCTTGTGGACATTGGTGGTGCCCTCCCTGACTAATGGAATCTGAAGTGCATTTCAGGCCGCGTTACTTTAGCATATATACTCACCTTCATACGTGCTTTCTCATATTTCTCATTTCAAGAAACAATAAAACATATATCATCAAGTTCATCAACTCAAACAAATAACCAAATCTCATTTTTCTCTTAACTTTCTCTAGAAAATTTTTATTCAAGTTATCCTTGAGTCAAATCTTAGGTGTTAAAATAGTAACACTTGATAATCTATTTTTTAAACTTACATTTATGGAATGAAAAACATATAACCATATACAGAAGCAAAGAATGTATACAAAATTTATATACATCACCTGGGTATAGTCAATGGAATAGAACTATCCTTACCTTAAATAGATAATTCACGCCAAAGTTTTGGTGGAAAATGTTGTCCAAAAAACCAAATTCTTCTTAAGCATCACAAAGTAGATTAATTTTTGAGAAGGAAGAAAATGATGAAATAGAAGTGAGATTGGAAGTATAATCTCTAAGAAACTTATTGGAGATCGAGTAGAAAGGGTGTCTAAGCTCAGATTCGAGAGAGGTTTTGAAAACAAAAATATTTTCTAGTTGTGGAAGAGAGTGAAAGAACTGAAAGTGAGATGAAAATGATTACTTACCGTGTAATCTAAGTTTTAAAAATGTAAAAGTTACTTAAATATCCTTTTACTTACAGATTCTTACTTGAGTAAGGTCATTCTGTATATATCTTTCAAATAATTAATAACATCTTTTTAAGTTTTAGTTTCTTTTAATTGAAGTTTATTATTTTATTTAAAGTGATAAAGATGAGACATATATATACAATAAGATCAAGATATTCTTAACAAAACCATTTCAATACTGAGTGAGTTTAATATTATGGATAGCTAAAGAGGCAAGAAAACAATTGTAATGAAGCAAAGAATAAATACAAAAACGTAAGACACAAAGAATTAAGAAAAGAAAAGTAAGAGTGTGTTTGATTTTCCTGCTAAAAATATTTTTCTATTTTTAAAAATAAAATGTAATGCAAATTTATATTACAATTTATTTTTAAAAACAAAAAACTATTTTTAAAGAGAAATCTGTTGGGTGTGCGAATAAAGTCCTACATTGACTAGAATTGGGAAGATCAAGGGCATATAAGTATGGTGGATCTCCATTAGCATGAGGCCTTTTGGATGATGTCCGAAAAGGAAACTATGAAGGCTTAGCCCTAAAGTAAATAATATCATACTAGTGTGGACATATACTAAAAAGTCATACTTGTTCTAACAAAATCAAATATGACATAAACTTTAAGTAAAGAATAATTAAAAATGAATTTTAAGGAAAATATTTACTAACTTTTCTTTAAGAGATAAGTTACCAGTTGTTGAGGATTGATCATAAATAGAGATTGTTGAGGATTGATCATAAATAGAGATTTTAGAGCTTAACTTTCATTCATAGAACATAGCTAAATTGTTATATATTTATGTAGTCATAGTCTATTTCAAATATTGCACATATAATTTACAGCAACATAAACTTTGTATATCATTTACTAACTCAACTTTAAAGTTACTTAAAATAAAATAATTAATCTTGCTTAAAATAAAATAATTAATATGCAAAATCTAATATCACTAAGAAAATCTCACATTATTTTTGAGGAGATATGTTCATCTTTAAAAGCATTTACTAACTAAATTTGGTATGATCTTTCCTCATAATTACATTTTATTTATTTTTCTATTTTTAGGTAATTTATTACACCTTCTCGATCTTCTGGACTTTGTTGGTGCCCTCCCTCACTTACGGAATTTGAAGTAAACTTGAGCGTAATGTTAGCATACTCACCTTCATGTGTTATCCTAAAGTCCAGGTAATAACTTTGTCATATTTCCTATATCAATAGCAAAAACACTCCTTTAATTCCTGTTGAGTTCTAATGAAAAATTCCATATACGGGTGACTTCACAATTGATCTAATGATTCATATTTCATTATATCTCCTTATGCAACACTTTTTTTTTAAAAACTTTTTATAGCTTCTTTTATTATATTTAAAATGCCTTTGTGATATATTGAATCATTGATGATCACTCTATAAGTTCCTTCTATTGTGATAGGTGTGTTCCTGCTTGAGAAATGACTGTCTTCTAACCTCTGATCAGGTGTCCTTCTGACGATTTGCTGATATGGAGGGTACCTACAAAAGGCACTCCGATGGTAAAGTCAGGATTCGATTCTGAGCAATAAATGTTATTTAATGATGGGAAGTCAACCCCTTACCTGTATTTCCTACCTTCCTTTTATAGGCATTCTATTGGGCTGATGGGCCTGAGTCAGCCTTTATACTGTGGCCCCTTTTC